TAGTTCCGTGCTCTAGTATATTCCGGAAATATGGGTAAGGACGACTTGTATGGCCGCCTAAATAGGGCACGGAAACAGAAAACGTCCACAGTACGTATGATTTTGCGTCAAATTCGGGGAAAATTAATTTTAAGGTGAATGTGAGGATTAGGTTTATTGTTTGGGTTAAGGTCAGAGTTAAGATTAGGGTCGGGATTATATAAGGGGTTAATGTCTGTGTTCGTGTTAACTGTAGGATTTAGACTTATGATGGGGCTGGAATTAAGCTAAAGGTTACCTAAATTAGTAAGTGGCATGGGATTGAGTGATCGGGACATGACTTTTTGGTGTCAGACCCGAAATGTAAATTAACATTTGAGTCGAAGACAATCAACTTCTGTGGAATAACCACGCGCTTCCCATTTTTCAAACAAATAGTACACATCATATGATATAGGATAGTTTTACGATCGTTTTCGATCATGTCTACCATATGCCCAAAATTAGGGATGGTGACTGGAGACAGAGACGAGATTTAAGTGAACTAGACGCGCAACTGTCTACCTCACTTTCAACTCTTACGCGTTTGAACTGGTGACAAGACAGAGTCAAGATGAACGAACGGGATCGGGCGTAGGCTGCTTTCTTAAATGCAGGTCAGAGCACAGCCTAAATTTGTCTTAGGTGACAGTAGCGTTTTGCGGTGGTACTACCGCCCTATTTACCCTCATACACCTTCAGTAGACCTCAAAAAAAAAACTCAAGGAAACCGAGGCCGGTACCGCTACTGCTATTTCTACTACTACTAAATAGGAGTGTGGCTAAGTGTTATTAATACAGACGCTATTTCTGACGCTAGTATTTGTCGGAGTTGATTCCGATTAAAGCCAACGCCGGAGCTATACCCCTCGATCTCAATAAGGAGGGTGGATCTGGGTTTAAGCTCCTCCGAGTAAATACATGTTTGATGCCCGGAGCACATCAGGGCCTGCCTTGGTTTCCGCCCTCTCACCTCTCTCCACCAAAAGCTATGTCACATGTTACTAAGTTTGGGCTAGGACACTGCTGCTAAAGGTAATATATCACTGCTAAGAGTGCTTATTCTAGTAACCATACTTACTTAGACCAGTAGATAGTATATTCATATAATTGTATCAATAACTGGCATGCATCGTATTTTTGCAGCAAGCATAACAGATAGGAAGATGAGCTTACACGCGTCCTAAACTTCATATGGGCTGACTTTTTAAGACACCCGTAAGACTGTTAACACATTATACACGGAGTAGACGTTATACCGTACTACCGACATGTGTACTAGCTAAAAGCCCAGACTTGCGTTTTGCTGATGTTTCTCCTGCTGCTGCATGACCCTAAAAAGAAATGTTTCAGTCACCCAACTCCGTGTTATGCACTTTTTTCTAATTTCAAATATGATTGAGCAACAGTTTTATCTACTGTTGATGTATGCCTCGTCTGAGTACATTGCTTTCAGGAATTCACGACCTTTCCTAGTTGGATAAGTGCCAACAATCTGTATGTTTTCCCACGCGAATTTGTGGCCGGCCGTATTTGATTTTCACTATGATAATTTACCCTTCAAATTTTGCCGGACAAACGTCAAAGCAAAATAGTCTTTTAGGATTTTCGTTCTGGACCTACTAAATGAAGCTGACCTATACGTTCTGTCAGCCGCATTATAGTTCACTCATGCATATCGACAATGTTCGTTTAGTGCTCAACACTTAAACGTGTCTGGTCACAGTCTTTCATTTTGTGTGCATTTGCTCCCTGTGTAGTGGACTGTTGTTTACCCGG